TATAAATGGACTCTTACTTTAACAGGTCTGGGCAATGAACCAGTCAATTAATATACTGCTTTTTAATAAGTGCAAACACTCATATTCTAGCCTATATTAAGAGTTATTAATAAATTATCCCTATTAATAAATATCCAACACGTTACACTAAATTGAAACTATGTATGTTTTTCTGAATAGTGAGTATGCTGAGTTTAATAATAACAGCAGGATGACTAAAAACTCACATAAGAAAATATATTCAAAGATATTAAGATTATATATATATATATATATACATTACTAGTGTTTTCATTAGCATTTAATCTGATAATTAATGAAAACTGAAAACTTCATATTTAAATTGGTCATTGTGCACATAAACGCCTAACTGGGTGTAAAGGTGGAAAATAACCATATAGCTATAAAGTTTCTGTGCAGCATGTTAATTTAAACTGTGCATTGGAGTTACAGAGTTATATTAACATTAACATGCACGGTTGCTATCAAATGAATTTAAGTTAATGATTTTATATTATTATATGATAAGTTAGTAACTGGTTTTGTTTATGAGATGTCAGAATTCCAAAAAGGATTTTTAAAAAGATGCTTACTTCATAATGATGGACTAAACTAATAAGGTTTTCAGCAGGTTTTCAGATAACTTATTATGAAAAAATAAAAAATAAATAAAATAACCACCCTATATGTGTTTTGAGATTTCTGCTCTTCTCATTTCTCTACATGTTGGTGTTCGTGTAGTACCTGCAGGTCGGGTGGCAACGCCAGCAGAGACCTGTACAGCTCGCACTGGTAAATACCAGTGCTGCGCCAGACACACTCCATCCACAGGCCCTTCATGTACCCGGTGGCTGTGATAATGTTACCATCCACATGAGCTCTGCTGCGCCAGTGAGGGAGCAGGGTTGCAACTATAGTTCCTGTAAACCCCAGCAATCCTAAGAAGAAGCCGAGGAGCTGAAGCGCCATGCTGGCCATGATCGGCTCCTTTCAGAGAGATCCTGAAACGGCAAAGTATGAAATTACCGTCAGTAAAAATATATAAACTCTAGTAAAAGGCAGTTAGCAGCATTTCAATTTCCCTTAAAACAAGAAGACAACTGCATTGGATTCTGATGTTTCATAAAAATCAGCAAACATAAACCAATTTAAATACATGCCACTTAAAAAGAAACTTTCAGAACAAAACTACTGACTGTCCCGCAGGCTGAAATGTGGCTGGATTACTCCTCTTATCGCAACGGTTCCCAGCAGTACAGTAATTCCACTGAGCTCACATCCAGTCACAGAGTCTGAGTCATTCCTCAAGTGTCTCTCCCGAGTGTGGGCACAAATAGCTGTGGAAACTTTCAGTATTCTGGCATCCGTCTCTGGTGAGTGGCAGGTGACTGCATGTGTAACTAATGAGTGCGGTGTTCAGCTTCACCTGTTTAACGCTCTCCTCTGGAGGGCAAACCACAGAAGTCTATTTGTTAAGCTCTTCGCCGCCCCTCAAGAAGGCAGAGAGAGAGGAAATTAAACATTTACAGAAACCACCCAAGCTGAGAAGCACCGCTATAAGCCACTAACTTTGAAATTTTTCACAGCTCTGCAGGGTATTTGAGAGCGGAGGACTGAACGACTTGCTGACAGAGCCTCCAGCCGCTGGGCCCCAAACTCTGACAAGAGGGGATAGCAGTGACTGCTGTTGTAATAATTGGCCAAATTATTTTATTTTTCAATTAAAATTTCTGACCTGACATCCTTTGGCATTTAGTTTTACATTTGCAAATGCATGCTGAGCCCTAAAAACACCATAACATTTAGCTGTAGGCTACAACTACAGATCCCCTACCTGAAAAGTGTGAAAAGGTAAAAAACATTCATGCTTAATCATTTACTTTTGTTCCCTAGACTTTATGTCTCTGAATAATACAATGTGGTAAATAAACGGACCAACAATACTATTAATTAAGGGTGCCTTTTTGCTCCCGCATGAATAAAACTGACTTTAAGTTTCACACCAAAGACCAAACTGTGCTTATACAGACCCATTGTTTTGAATTCCTCAGAGAACAGAAGCTGTTTATGAAGCCTGATTATTGTGCAGTGTTAGACCTGGCACTGCCGGAGCCTCTTAAAATGTCACATATACACAAGCTTCCTTGTCCTTATTTAATGATTGACACCGCTGAAGGCATAACAATTAAGCAATGCGAACAAAGGCAAAGCTGTGTCTTGTTTAAAATTTGAAATCTGAAATTAGTCCAGTTTAGTCTTTGACTACTCTGCAAACCACACTGCAATACTTACAATATAAAACACTCAGTCACTGCTGCGTAGCCTTACCTGTACTTCTAACATTTACTTAACAGTGTCCACATTTAAATACTCACCAATAAGAGGACTACAGGACCATCATCACAGGTGTCCAGATGGTATACTCGTCCTGAGATGCAGAGATGTACTTCCAGATAAACAGGGCCTTTGACTCCACATTGACCAGCTCCTTCTGTTTCTGCTCTTGTCTGGACAAACAATCTGTGGATGTGTGTTTGTGTTTGTGCGCTGCAGGACTGTCAGCTGCGTGACTGGCCTGTTTTAGATATCATCTTCATCATCATCATCATCATCATCGGCATTATCCCTGTCAGTGTCGGCAGCATCATGTCAGAGATGACATGAGAGACAGTCCCGTTTCTGGCTTCTTGCTCCTGACAGATAAACAGGGCCAATGTCAAATGTGGACCTGGAGGCAGGGCAGCGCTGCTAAGCTGAGGCAGACAGAACAGACATTGTCTTCGCTGGCTGTGCTGCTTTTGTCTCAGTAAATCAGTTCTGCACCTACAGATCTGTTGATAATAATAATAAAAACAAGAATAAATGAATACAGAATTAAATCCAACAACAAACTTGTAGAGGAATGGTTAATGTTTATTAACTGCTATTATAAGCAATTTAAAGAGACAAAACAAAGCTGCAGCCAATTAAGACTCTTTCTAAATACATGACTTGCACATTAGGTAATTTTAGTTAACTAAAATTAAACCGATGTGTAGATGTAATTTAGATGTAACATACAGCAAATTTATTTAGATTTAGTCAACACTACCAGCACGAGAAGGCTTTGGCTTATATAAATCTGTGTATTGCAGCCTATATAAAACTAATAATAGAAAGTAATGAAGATTTAACTAAAATGTCTGAAACAAACAAAGAAAAAAAACTTACCTGAAAACAAAACATGAATAATAATGAAACTAGTGGACTATAACTCCACTTGTACATACTGTAGGGCAATCCAGGAAATGCTGGTGAGTTCATCGAAGTTTGAGCTTCTCTCTCCGTGCTTTTCCTCATTCTGTGTCCCAAGTTTAACCTGCCGTGACATCCTCTTGGTATACAAGAGCATTTTCCCAGTCTGTCCCCTGGGCCCTTCATACAACTCTCTGTGACAGCTCTATAGTGAAGAGATGATCCTCTCCAAGGTCTGCCTGTGGGAGACGCCATTTGAATGTGGAACACTTAATAATCTTAGTTAAGCAGAATAATCCTGTGATTAGCAGCTGAGCACGGGTGGTTTGTTGGACAAAGTGCTAGAGGGTAATGTGTGTAGTACAGGGCATTCTTTTTAAACTGGTCTTGCCTGTGCCACACATATTTTGTCAACACACTTTATGTGGATTAACGACGAAACAGCCTACAAAGTCACATATCTAAAGGCCCCTGCTTACGCACAAAACACACACATAGACACAGGTGTTTTGGCCATTTGGCTGATTAGACCTCTGATATGGGGGTTGAGGTTGGTTGGACCAAGAATGAGAGTTAAGTGAGGTCAATAAATTCTATCAGCAAACCATAATGGGAAAAAAGCATTGGTGTGGATGTCATACAGGGTCTTTCAGGTCACAAATCTGTATTTACTGCACACATTGTGGCTTCTCAAAGCATTACAATTAGTTAGCATAAAAATGATAACTCCATTTAGCACTGGGCCACACCTAAACTAACATAAAACCACTTTGCTTTTCTGACATGTCAAAATGTCTATTTTACATTGTGGCCCACATACCTCCCACTTTGATCTTAAGTGTGATGGACCAGTGAAACTCACCCTTCTGTCAGTGCAAAGAGGTTTATCTACATATGTAATCCTTGAGATATCTTAATATGAGAAAAAATTTAATTTGTCACCATGACTTGTTGGGCTTAATTTTTTAGAAATGTGTAAAATTACAGAAACAGTACTGGTATCCCAAACTGTTTCTGTTAATTCACAGAAAATGTAAATCAACATTTTTTTATTTTCATTTTTACCGTGGACGCATTTTGAAAAACTCACTAGTATATAGTGAGATAATGTATTTATTATATATATGTTTATATTTAGTCTTCATAAGTCAATTTACTAATACAAGTAAACATACTGCCCCCCAACCACCAAAACAAAACACATAGAGACATCACAAATTACTTTTTGCCACAATACTTCCAATTCGAGTCCCCAGGCCTTATATTTGACACCCAGGGTCTACTGGCTTGATAATAGGGTAATGGAACAATGCCACACAGTATACATAAGATGTAGGCTATTTAAAGGCTATATCTATCTATCTATCTATCTATCTATCTATCTATCTATGAAAGAACTGACTGTATCATTTAACAACTATCTTACTATTGTGTATTAAACATTAACAATACCTTATTTCATTATTTAATAATACCATAGATGAAAAGTCTCTATGGCTTTCTGGGATAACAGCTAACCCAGCTATTAGCTACAACTAGCTATCTGCCACTGTTTTTCAATGAGCAATTTTATTATTTTTTTCTTTTTTCGTTTGATTTACTTACAGTCTGTGCTGACATTTGCTTTCTTTTTAGCCTTAATTTATATATATATATATGTTATAATATATATAACATATATATAAAGGTGTTGTAACTTAAGGATATAAATATTTTCCCATCCCTACCGCACAGATGAAAGGAAAGAGAGAGAGAGGGGGCAGTTTCGCGCCGTTGTCTGCTAATGTGTCATTAAAGAAAGCAGCTAGGTTAGCTGCCAACTTCTTTACTTCCAGGATTTGCTATTCACGGTTTTATTTGCACAGGTAAGATTTTGTAATGTCAGCTTGTAGCCCTGTTAACTCTGTGTCTGAATTTGTGACTCTTGTGAGGCTCAAAGTTGATGAAAATGTAGTTTTATGAGTTACTTTTACCTAACTATGTTAGCTGACCTTGTGTTAGCCGAGTGTTTCCCAGTCATATTTGCTTATCTTTTTGACAGTCACTTAGCCAGCGATGACAATGGTCAGAGGGAAGCCATTGAGAAATGTTGGTAAGTATTCACAGACACATACAGCTTACAAGAAGAACCGTAATGGGCCCACACCTTCTAGGACCATTATGACCCGCAGCCAGTGCTCCACTAGCTGCACCAGCTTCTTCAGCAGGATCCCTGCAGAGGTGTTTGACATGATCCTAGACAAACTGTCTGGTGAGTTTCACCTATTATTTTGTACCTGTAACACTGTTCCCCAATTAATATATAATAGGAGCTCTGTTATTTTGTAAGGGGCTTTTGGGTACAGCTCAGACCTTTTGTTTGTATAACTTATATGAGGTACAAAAGCTTTTACCAACATACATATGTAACTATGTGTAATTTTAAGCGGTACTTTTACAACACTTTCTGCAATAATAGCTCCATTCTGAAATGTCCTGATGTGTTTGTGTTTTTCTCAGTGCTGGAGATCAGTGTGTTCAGCATGGTATCAAAGGAAATTACTAGATATATTGCAGACTACATCTCCACTGTGGCCTGGAAGAATAAAATGATCCTCCAAAGCTTTCACCACTCCAGCCGCATTGAACAGAAATCCACCACTGGACACTACAGAGACCTCGGTATTTCAGTGTTTTGTTTAGTATAGCTCTTCTTGCTGCTTTTTAAGGTACCACATGTATTTCTGACAGCCTCAGCTTTTATTTAACATACCATCGAATGGTAATGTGACTTCGTGTTTGATGTCTTAGGTGTGTTGTTCAAGAGGTGTACCCTGTTGCTATCCACAAAGGACAGGTTAAAGTTTATCTTTAGCAAGATTTCACAGGTAAGAAAGGGGCAGGTGAGATGTCAGGCTATAACAGAATACTGTAACTTTTTAAATGAGTTACATTTATTTTTAATTTTCCTGAGTGAAGGCAACAATACATCTGTTTTTTGTAATGTGTTGCAAAAGTTTAAAAACAAAAACAAAACATTGATTGCATTGCTGTTTTATGCAGCACAATATGGTGGCATTTTAACAGGTTTATTAATAATAATTATATGTTTGATGTCAGGCAATTAAATATTACATAACATATTACATTACAGCACAGGCAGCACGGTGGCATGGTGGTTAGCACTGTTGCCGCACAGCAAGAAGGTCCTGAGTTCAATTCCACCATCAGGCCGGGGTCTTTCTGTGTGGAGTTTGCATGTTCTCCCCGTGTTTGCGTGGGTTCCCTCCGGGTACTCCGGCTTCCTCCCACTGTCCAAAGACATGCAGCTTGTGGGGATAGGTTAATTGAATAATCCAAATTGCCACTAGGTGTGAACGTGAGTGCGAATGGTTGTCTGTCCCTGTGTGTTGGCCCTGTGACAGACTGGCGACCTGTCCAGGGTGTACCCCGCCTCTCGCCCTATGACAGCTGGGATAGGCTCCAGCGCCCCCCGCGACCCTGAAAAGGAGAAGCGGAAGTGAATGGATGGATGGATATAATTTAGCATTATGGTCCTAATTTGTCTACATGTATTAAACATATATGAAATGTTGCTATTGCAGAAAAGTTAATGCAGTGTTAAAAAAAAAAACAACTAACTGAATATTTGCAATCCCACTTTATATCGGTGGAAAAAAAGCCTCTCTTATTGTTGCCTTGATGTGTTTCAGATTCCCTGCTTCCTGTTGGAGAAATGTGTAGCACCAGACTGCTTTGCTTTCTCCAGCTTTGGAGTCTTCCTCCAGGTGAAGACCCTCATGTAACGACTCTCATGTTTATGAAACCTGAATCTAATAAAAGGAAATAACCAACCAGAGCCCCAAAATGTGATAACATGCAAAAGATAAACTTTTTAGCAACAAAGACTATAACAATGTTACAGAGATCTCACCCTAAAGTTACTGTACAATCAGGCAGTCTTGTTCAGGTAGTAATAATAGCATAAACAGTAAGAGAAAAACACAGTACTTTAGGTTAGGGAATCTTTAGCTTGGTATGATTAATTTTGTCTTTAGTTTTTCAGCTTGGTGTTAAAGAAATATCTGTAAAAAAGAAATAGAAATATTGAGGGGTGTTTTATTGATTCTTTTACAGACTCTGATTGCAGGGTGGGATGAGCTGGAGTGCCATAGAGTATTCAACTTCCTCTGTGATCTAACAAACCTGCAGCAAAAAACTGAAGGAGTCATCACTGCAAAACCAGGTGTGTGTGTTCCAGAGTTATCCAGAGAACAAAGCAGAAATATGATGCTGAGAACAATCCATGGCTAAAGCTGAGCCTGTGTCTTTTGTGATGGTCTTCGGGAGTTATGGATACATTTGTATGTCCATTACCAGGTGTGAAGTGGTATCAGGAGCTGCAGCTGCGGCTATTTTGCCGTCAGGTTCTTTTGGACCCGTGGCCAAACCAGCCGGAGTGTCATTTCTGGCTGATGCAACTCCTGAAGCCTTGGCCGTTGGTCAGCCAGGCCCACTTACTGTTCATCCTCTATGGTCCTCTGCTGCCTGAGGGTGAGATAACGTATTACTGAAATATTAATGCAGTTGGATAGTATCGACATTATGGAAACATATTAAAATCATAACAAAAATCCTTTTATTTTCAGTGCAGCTTTGTAAATTCTAGCATGTTTTAACCTGAAAAAGGGCTTATTGCGCCAGAGAAAGTGTCAGCAATTATTTTTTAAATAAAGCATAAAAATTAGAGAACCAGAAAACCACTTTGTGTGTTGTGAGGTGGCACAGGAGACCTGAGTAGGTTATGCTGCTGTAGTACAATTTTTGACATTTAACATAGTCATTTTTGTAGTGGTGCAATGGATCGGATCACAGTTTTAAGTCACGGATCGGATCAATTTTCGGATCAGCAAAAAAATAAAAAAGACAAAAAATTAACATTTACTTATTCACTTATTGAAGTATTTTTTGCCTGTTAAAAACATTCAACTCAAGACTCATTCCACGCAATTATTAAAAAAATAAATTATGGTTCTATATAGGGCCATATAGGTCTTTGTATCTACCACTCATTTCAATTCAATTTTATTTATAAAGCGCCAAATCACAAAAACAGTCGCCTCAAGGCGCTTTATATTGTAAGGTAGACCCTACAATAATACATACCGCTCATTATATCGCACTCTGCTGTGATATAATGAGCTGTCACGGTCACGTAGCTTTCCGTTGCCCTGGAGGTCCACCCGTTGTAGTTAGGGCAACAGAAGATGCCTGGGACAGTTCAGCCATAACTTTAAACTTTTCCTGCTCATACATGCTTGGAACGATCTTGCCACTAAAGTGGACGCGCAACGGGATATCATAGCATGGCTCAAGCACGTTCATCATAGTTTAAACCCCTTGTTTTGCACAACGGAATACCCGTCTGCAGCTAAACACCCCAATAGCTTTTGTAATAGCTTTAGCCCGGTCGGACAAGGGCTGCTTAAATACCACAATTTCCTCTGCTCCTCCACTTGGACCGCTAGCGCTGGCCATAACTATCGCTTGACAGACCCACCATACACATACTTTTTTTTCTTTTTTTTCGAATCTTCGGATCACGTGCGTGCCGAACCGTGGAGTGGGATCGGTTGGATTACGGATCAACCGTAACCCGTTGCACCACTATAAAGTAGTGTGCAGCATTTAATGATAAGTAACTGAGGTGTACTCCTTCATGCAGGTACACTCGGCTGGCAGGATCTGGTGGAGAGGGGGCTTCCTCACACCGCTCTGTGGCACTTAGCCAAGGCCATCCTCTTGCTCTTTGGTAACCTACAAGTCAAAGGCTGGAGCACTGACTCGATGATCACAATCATGGAGGAGCTCATTGGTACGTTTGATGAATAAGAGAGAGATGCACACCGGGAGTTACAGATTCCCAAGCAATAAGATGAATAAAGGATCTGTTTCAAATCTATGTAAAACATTTCCGTTTAATGATTGTAAGTAGAAAAATGTCATATAGATTCCCTCAAGTGATTGTAGATGTTGGCTATTTGTTTCCTTGCTGTCTCCAGTCATTCCTCATCCGTGGCATGTGGAGAATGTAGCTCGTCTTTTGGTGCTTTGTGGCAGCAATCTCTGCTACACTGTTCTGGCCAGCAAGGCTCTCAATGGACGACTCCTTGAGATCTCAAGAATCATCGTCTACATCATACTGGTGAGAGAAATAATTTCCTGCTTTTATCCTCAGGTATTTATACTTTGTTTATAGTTAAGTTTGGTATATTAGAAAATTATTGCCTTGCAACTGAGAATGAGCAGTTGCTTGAGCCAGAACCAGCATGTGTAAGACTAAAGGTATAGTAAGTTTTGGACGAGCTTGCCATTTTTGCAAAGGCCACATTAGAAGGAAACCTGTGTGTAAAAATAACAAGCGCCGAGGTTCAAATGTAAGACCTTTCTGCTTTGGGCTGCTGAGTTAGTGATCTCCGCTCCCTGATCATTTTTATGTAATTTAATTAAAAATTGTCTCCAAATTCACCCAAAATGTAAAAACAGAAAATATATAAAGACAATATTCTTATGTATTATTGTCTGTTCTTTCTTGAAAAAAAAAACAGCAAAAGGAATCACTTGCTCTGTCCATGGTCCTAATATTGATTGGCTATTTTGTATCTTCCCCATAGGGGAATAGTAGCAACTTTAATATATATGTGTTTGAGCTCATTAGTGTTGTCCCTATTAACAGGGACAACACTCACAATTGAATTTTATGTTTTATTCCCAGCACTGAAAATATCTTACCTTTGCTTATTTTGATTTATCATTACAGGAAGAGCAGAAACATTATATCATTCAAGACTGGCTCAATGTGTTCTTCTTGTGCCTTCACATTAGGTGTGTGAAAAGGACGGCTATCACATGAGTTGGGCGGTGAAGCTGGTGCAGGAGATCTGCAAGGTCTTCACTACGCCCCCGGAAAAGTTCTACTTCATCCAGCAACTGGAAAACACATTTTCAGAAGTCACCCGGGAATTCTTTGAGTTTTCTGTAGCAGGTGAGGTTGCGTAGCTTAGCTTTCTGTCCACCACGGTGGACAGCATCGCTCCAGCTGTCGCCCTGATCCTTTTGTAATTTTGCATGCAAACTATTTTTTGTTTCTATAGCCCGTTGCAATACAGTTTCTTAATGTTGGAGGTGTTCTGGGTAAACTCCACTAGGAAGAGGCCCAAGGGTTGACTCTGAACTTGTTGGAGATATTATATATGCCTTTATATGTCTCTGGCTCTCCAGCAAGAATCACTAAACATTGCAGAGGAAAAGGATGTCCGCTTAGGATGACCACATTTCTGTTAAACAGAAGAAATGGATGGATTGAAGGAAACCTTAATGGGTAGACAAAAACCATAGATCCCACTGTGAAGGCTTGTGGTCATGCGAGGTTCCATTTCTATTTATTTTATTTATTTAGTGGCAGTTCACAACTACAGTGAACTAAAGACTTTATATTGTCCAAGTTAAAAAAACCCAGGCATAGGATAGCCACCTCAACCAGACAAAGGACTCAGCAGTACACCTGCACTTAAAGGACAAAGGAGACTTTCGAAGATGCTAATGTTTACATTTTGAACATCAGAAGACAGATGGTTTCGGAAAGGAGTAAAGGAGGCCATGTCCACTGTGAATGACTGTAATTGAACAGAGGTGGTGGTTTAGGACACCAGCTATAAGCCAGCAACAATGCAGCCTTAAGATCCATTCTCAGGCGTCTCAACCCCCATTCACACCTTGCCTCAGGTGACCTCAGTAGATCACATGATGGGGTCTGGCAAAGTTTGACAATGGCTTCCCAGTGATGGTAATAATTCACACATTTCTTCCACACCTCAGCTCATTTGACGACTCACACGATCAATAGTGGGTCAACAACCCTCAGGACCTCCTGAAAAGGGGAAAATCCTCACTTTAAATACTTTGTGGGGCTCTTCACCATTTGATTTTAGTACAGAAGAAGCCTTTTGGCAGAAAACTGCAGCACTGGGAAAACTACAGTAACAAGCATCCATGAACCCTGTACCACCCATGTTGTGTTCAAATAGACTGGGAAGTTAATGTGCTCATTTAAAAATGTTCAGATGTACAACAAGAAAGTTAATATATTCACATAAAAAGAGGAAACACATTTGCAGTAAGGGTGTGTGTAAACATGGTTAAGGTGTAGATGAGAAAATGATTTTGTCTGCAGTGTGAAGCAGCTTGTTTTGAAAGTGTGTGTGTGACTGTGTACTTGTGACAGCTCAGACAGATGGCATTTACAGGGAACTTATTATTTTTCCTTATTTTAGTGAAAACATTGGGATGGATGTGTTTCCACCTTCCTTGTGTGAACCTTTAAATTCTGCTCCACCAGTGTTAATGGCTTCTAATACATCTGGAGGGACCCGCTTGTTACTCTACGCAAGTGTGGATTAATCCCTGCTATGAAATGAATGGACTGGACTGAAAAGATCGGGCAGTAGCTTTAAATAAAGGCCGTAGAGTGACATTTCTCGACTCAGCAGGATACTGAACGTGTATTTAATATAATTGTATCCCTTACACCAATAGTGCCCTTCCCACATTATTTATTTTTAACGCAGCCACTTTACGACCCCACAGAGGAACCTCTGAAGCATATTTAGACTGATATAGAAAGTTAGTAATGCTTTTATCTCTTTCCAGGGAACCACTTTGATGACAGAGAGACTTTCCAGACCCTGTGTATCCTTCTGGACTCCTGTGCTCACTTCCACACTAAATTTCTTCACATGTTCCTCAGATAGGAATCATGCATATTAAAAGTGACAAGATGCAGAGGAGCGAGGGAAGACATGGGAAGAGATAAATGTCAATAATGAAAGGGCTTAATGAATGAACTGAATGATAGAGAGTGACAGGTTTTTGTAAAATCAGTTCAGATTTAGACAGACTTGAACAAAAGGATGTTGCCATGGCGCTTAGAAAGCTGGGGGTGGATTTGAACCTTCACCTGTAGATTGAACTCACATCTGTTTGAATAGCTGTTCAAATCGTATCACTATTTATACAAATATTTGTATCAAAGTTTTATAATCTTGTTCTTAAGACAACTTTGAAGTTGACTTTTATTATACTATTTAATATTTATTCATTACAGTCGGGTTATTTAACTATTAAGACTATTTATTTGACAGTTTATTTATTCGCACGACATGTAAGTGTGGTACTGACTAAATGGTTCGTTGTGCTTCTAATTTATTAAAGTGGAATTTTTACTTTGATTTTGTCTCAGTTTCTCCAGCAGTATCACGTCTGCTACAAACACAGCGTACACTCAGCAAATAAGCTTTTATTAGACAGTGCAATATTCAGCATTGACAGCGTTTTCAAAAAAGGATGTAATTAAGAAAGCATTGTGTCAATAAAAAAAAGCAGCTTCAATAAAAAAAAAAATTGTACTGTATACAGAAACAGTATAAATGATTATTTTTAGTTTACAGAGTGTGCTCATAAGGATATATAATAAGGAAATCTATCAGGGAATGCTTTAAATAACCAGAATATATTTGATATTTTTCTTTTTTTACCCAAAGGTAAGTAGATCTTAGAGTTATTGCGTGCTCAGGAATTTGTAGGTTATTTAACATGTAAGTTTAAGGCCTACAACATCAAGTGTGATGAATACTCCAGATGATGAATGAGATCCAGTTACCAAGTCCCCTTTGTCTGTAGTCACAGCCATTTCAGTCATTTATGTGTTCATTGTTTTCAAATGATCTGACAAAAGGAAAACAGAATTGTGATTGGGCTTTTTTTGTCTAGGGGTGTGGAAACAAAAAAGTAACTTTTATTAAACAGAAAATCACCTAATTGTGGTATTTACAGAGGACTATGGATGGAAACAGGACACAGAATACAACACATAGTGGAGGAAAGGTCTGATTTAGACAGGATTTACTTCCCAGAGAGTGTTTTAATTTGGCCTCCCATACAGAGAAATACATTCTACAATCACAATCACAGTTTCATAACACTGTCACAACAATAAAGCATAATTATACTTACTGTGCAATTTGATCTAAGGGTATGAACAAAACAACAGCACTTAATACAAGATGCAGAAAGTATTGACATTTAAATTTTCTGACCCTGTTTCTCTTTCAGCTCAGTATGACATCATTAAGTTTACCTTGTAGCCAGTCCAGCCCTTCCTGAAGGCCCTCTCCTTTGATAGCATTGCTGGCACTGAAAAATAAGATGTCCGGGAGTTAATCTGCTTGTGACACACATTCACTTTCTCATGACTTTTCTTGGATCCTGGACATTTAAAGCTGTCAAGCTTTTAATCCATCACTCTACCATCTGTCTAATGAGTAACCAGGTGGAACACACACATACGCACTGATGGCATGTTGCCGTGCCCCTCGGTAATGTTTAACCCATGAACCATAGACAAATCAAATAAACAGGAAGTGGCCGGGGAGCAAACGGTACACGTTATCTTTATTTAAGATTTCAAGCTGTAACTTGGGGAGAATAAAATGGAGTAGATAGGGGTGTGACGAGACTTGGCTCTGTTCAGTAAGGGCACTTCCTCGAAGACTACAAACACCTGAATGACTTTGGTAACAAATTACTCAACAGTGTCTCTGGAGGTGTTTTTATTGTGTGCTACTTCTCAGCAGGGTGAACTCAGGATGGCAGATAAATTACCAGATGTGCCAGGGCTTGTCTTTGATGTTCTCCAAACACAACATCTGTGAAACCTTGACAGAAGACATTGCATCCTGCAGATCTATCTTGTTAGCAAAAAATAATACTGGTATCCTTTTGCTGCGGATATCTGCGTAGAAGAAAAAATGTCAAGACCAGTTTATCGTGATCTAAGAGCCAGAGGGAAAAAAGCTTTTAGGAGGGATTTTTTTGTTTTCTATTCCACTACAGATAGTGTTAGATGTTGGACAGGATATCTTCAAATATGATCACTCTACTTGATGCTACCTAGATTAAAGCCACTAAAATGTATCAGTTCAAGCTTATAATGAATGGTGCAAATATTACTTAACTAGGGTTTAGATAACTGGCCTCTTAATTCAGGCATTTTAAACAAGTTGTGCACACAATCTGCATCAGTTATATACTGTTTCTTTTGTTCTTTATACCCGGACAAACTAAATTGTCTAAAGTGTCTAAAAACAAAGATTGTGTACCTTCATGGTTGAGAAGCGTGTCTAGCTCCTCTTTAGCAACAACCATTCTCAGCTTGTCACTGCTGTCAATGACAAATATGATGGCATGGCTCTCTCTGCAGAAGATAGGAGAAGGAGATGTACAGTGTCAGTTTTGAAAGTTTGAATATCTGACCAGCAAAAGGCTTGTTGTTCATGTTTGTGTGCCCTACTTGTAATAATGCTCCCACAGGTTCCTGTATCTGCTCTGCCCAGACATATCAAAGACTGTGAAGGACAGGCTGCGTGCAGAAAGGAGGCGAGAGGAAGGAGGAAAAAGACAGCTTAACATCATAAAAAACTGCTGGATTAGTCATTTTAAATATGCTGTAAAATTGCGGAATTACTTTCTACCTTGAACTCTTGAACTTTTCGATGTTGAAACCAATTGTTGGGACGATTTCTTGTGCCTGTGTCTGCATTCATCCCCGAGCACAAACACACAAAAACAGACAAGTAACGGCAAAAGTATGTCAACAACAAAATAGCATAATTAAAATGTAATACGGGCTTTACCTGACTAACATGTTTCCACTCTTCTGACAGTGGGCCTAAATGATTCGAATGCTGAAAACAAGCAACCAGTGAAGGACTGCAGCGAAATATAGATTGTGACAGGCCTTCGTACAGCGTGTTTACCAAATTAGCAGGTGTTTAGAAAAGATTTACATGTCTTAGAAGCCTCTGTACCTACAGGACTATAAACACAAATGCCTCTCAGTTCCACTTTAAAAAAAAGAGATATCAAAATACCTCACTCTTGAAGCTCAGTCATGAACTTACATTAGGTGGTTTGAGCTGGTTGATGATGGTAGTTTTGCCGCTGTTGTCCAGTCCAAGACACAAAACGTTGACTTCTTTCTTCTTCAGGCCGAGCCAGCCCGTCAGTTTATCCAACAACCCCATTACACTCAGCTGATGCTATGCCAATTAATTTTTCAACACATCACCCCATAGATGGTCTGATTACTGGGAATTAAATGTGTTCAGACTAGCAAAAAAAATAATGATAAACATAGCCGTGAATGTTCCTAGTACATGCCATGAATAGAGCCGCAAGCTGAGATGCTCCCTGGGCATCCCAGCTTGTGCAAGGTAATCCTATTAGGACGAATTAAGCTCGGTGAACCACCCGGCGACCTGATCATGAGGAGTATGGAGCTTCCCAGGCCCCCCGGCCTGATGCATTTGATTTATTACTCAAACGCTTTACCTCTCTGGAGGCCCCCACCCGCCTCAGATCTGGGCCCCCCTTGAAGGTGCAAAAACACATGCAAACAACAGCAGTTTATCATCAGCATCCTCTGCTCACTTAATGATGGCAGCCAAACTCAGTCTGTCGTGCTTTACAATCTAATTAAATCCATCTGTTAGAGAATACTGTAGTTGAAAAAAAATATAGAAAAATAGGATATCTAAAATTTCACATTATTTGGCCACATTATTCTCATATAGAAGCATATTCTAAGACCTGAAATGTAAATTTTAATTAATTTAACATTCAATGGAACAGTTCAGAAATGAGCACACCTCCCAGCAGAAAGTATATAGCGTACTCAATCTGAAAATTATGCACGTAGTCTTTATTTTTCATTATTATCTAAGTAGTTAATATTTTAATCTTCTCATATAACAGTTTTGAAGCTGCTGAGTGGTCCAACAGCTCCATCTTTTGGTTATCAGTACCTTGTAAAATGTCAGGATAATTGCCTAGTTTAAAGAGAAACGTCACATACATTTGACAATAACTTAAACGCAGATTAGAGAGATGGAGCCTAGTCCTGGAGCTTTGTTAAATCACGTTATCTTCACTGAGAGGACAGCCTGTCCTGTCTGACCGAAGAGACATTTTCCTTTCCTCAAGCCGCTCTGCGTCTCATTCAAGTGATAGCGAATGAAAACGAACCAAATGAAATGAGCAGTCAACCGCCAGAACTGTTCATGTTTATTTGCAAATAAATATTCGCTGTAACTGCCTCTTACAGTGTGCAAGATCTACAACATCTCTTTGGAAATCATAGAAAAATAAAATACAAGAATTATAAGTATACTTGTACTTTGTACAAAAGAGCGTTCTAACATTGCTCAGCAGTAGAACATGCTAAACAAACAGCATCTGATATTCCCCATATTCTGTAGAGCGGCGGTGACTGCGAGCGTGTGTGTGTGTGTGTGTGTGTGTGTGCAAATGTGTGCGCGTTTGAATGTGTGCTGTGCGTGCACCTTTCCTGCTCCTGAAAGCCTGGATGCATGACTGCGCCGTGACCGAAAGGCACAGATCTTTGTATCCAGTTTGCCCTTGACATTAATCATTGAGCTCCAATTCTTATTAAAACCCACAGCTGTAGATGGGAGGTTATTCTCATACAATTCAGACTAATGGCTAGGTCCTGTGACTGCACTGAAACTTATAAACGGCTTGCATGGTCCGCAGACTGTAAGGCATTCTGTGTCTGTTTGTGTGTTTTTGAGCATTTGTGTTTGTTACTGTCGATGTTACAATGACACATGATGAGTTATGATGCTGCTGTTTATGTTGGTTCTCCGTCTCCGTTAAGCCTCTCTGGCGAACACATCTGTCCTAACCTCACGTAACTAAGACTACTGACGTTTTTCACACCGGTTTCCATTAATCAGCTTTTAGCTACTTCTGCTGCCTCCAGCTCTAACTAAGTACTTTTATTCTTCACCGCTGCATATTCCCAGCTGACTTAAGAGTATGAAGAAAATGTTCATCTCAATAGCAAACATCCAACAACATGACATCTACTGCCAGTTTGAAATTAGGCTATGTTTATGTACACAGTTTACACCACCACAATTACTCCATCTGGTGATCTTGCGCCCCAGATGAGCTATTCTCTGACATCATGGATCAGCTTTGTCTCTGAAGTGCAAACCTCTGTCAGTACTGTCTGTGTGAGTGTGTGCAAGAAAAAAACAAAAACAATAACGGCATGGAATAATTTCATCATTATAGGTCCCTGTTAAGTTTCCAGCCAAACGTCTCTCCTCTATAGCTAAGCTCTGTGAACATTCATATATTAAGACAG